TTTAACAAGGGATTAACAGCCAGAATATATAAGTATATCAACAACTCAATACAAATAAACCATATAACTGGATTAAAAAATAGGCAAAGCCAGGTGCAGTGCCTCACACCTGTAATCCTAGCACTCTGGGAGGCAGAGGCAGGAGGATCTCTTGAGCTCAGAAGTTCAAAACCAGCCTGAGCAAGAGCGAGCCCCTGACTCTACAAAAAATTTTAAAATTAGCCAGGCCTGGTGGTGTACACCACCTCCCAGCTACTGGAAAGGCTGAGTAAGGGGAATTGCTGGAGCCCAGGAGTTTGAGGTTGTAGTCAGCTACGATGTCACCACTGCATTCTAGTCAGAATGACAAAGCAAGACTCTGTCTCAAAAAAAAAAAAAAGGCAGCAAAAGATCTAAACAGACATTTCTCAAAAGAAGTCATATAAATGGCTAACAGGTATTTGCAAAAATCATCAACATCAAATAAATGCAAATCAAAAAATAATAACAAAATCATAATGAGACATCATCTCACCCAAGTTAAAATGGCTTGCATACAAAAGACAGACAATAATAGATGCTGGTCAGGATGTGGAGAAAGGGGAATACAAAAGGAGAGAGACTTGAAACCTATTCTAATAGGATTTTCTGTTTAAAAAAATAAAAATGGAAAATTTAGATAAAAGGAAAAAATTCCTAGAAAAGCCAAGCATACAAACCTGACAAATAAACAGAAAATCTGTACAGTACTAAAACAATTTTAAAAAATTGAACTCAGATTTAAAAATCTTCCCACAAAGAAAACTCTAGGGCCACATATTTTGTCAGTAAACTGTACCAAAACTTTAAGGAAGAAATTACCCCAAATTCTTCCAAGAAATATGAAAAGAAGAAACACTAACCAACTCATTATGTGGGTATACCCTACTACCAACTCTAACAAGAGAATTTCAAGACAGGAAAATTATGAACTAATCTCATTCATAAACATAGAAGTCAGAATCCTAAACAAATGTAAGAAATCAAATCCAGAAATAAATTAAGAATGGGTTTAATTTCTTTTGGTTATAGGACTCTTCATGAAAATTTTAATTAAAACAAAACTATATACCCACTGACATGGCTAAAATTACAAAGACTTTTGTCACCTTGCACCCTGTAAAAAAAAAAAAATCACCAAGACTGGAGACACTAAGTATTGACAAGGAAGTAGAGAGGCCAGTACTCTCACACAATGTTGGCAGGACTGGTAACTGGCACAACCACTTCGTAAAACTGTTTGATAGTGAGTATTAAATTTGATCATATTCCTATGCCATGCAATGGCAATTCATAAGGGAAAAATGTATGAATAAAATAATTATTTGTAAGTGGTCAAAACTGGAGCTATCTAAATACTCATCAGCTGTAAAATGGTAAATAAATTGTGATATAATCATGAAGTGGATATTGCATAGCAGTGTAAATCAACAAACTAAAGTTATAAACAATACTGTGAATCAATCTCACAACTTAACTTTGAATGAAAAGGCCAGTCACAGAAAACTATAAACAGTATGGAGATTTCTCAGAGAACTAAAATAGAACTGCCATTTGGTCCAGCAATCCCACACTACTGGCTATCCACTCAAAGGAAAAGAAATCATTATATCAAAAAGATACCCACACTTATATGTTTAGTGCAGCACTGTTCACAATAGCAAAGATAGGAAATCAACCTAAGTGTCCATTAACAGATGATGGGATAAAGAAAATGTGGTATACATACAGAATGGAATACTATTCAGCCATACAAAGAATGAAATAGTGTCTTTTGCAGCAACATGGATGGAACTAAAGGCCATTATCTTAAGTGAAATAACTCAAAAATAAAGTCAAATACTGCATGTTCTCACTTATAAGTGGGAGCTAAATAACGTGTTCACATAGAGTATGGAATAATAGATACTGGAGACTTGGAAGGATGAGGGGGCAGATGAGAAATTACTTAATGGGCATGATGTATGTTATTCAGGCAATGGATACACTAAAAGCCCTGTAACAAAATTACACTTGCACTCCATAAAAAGAATATACACAATATTACCAAACATATACAATATATAGTATAACACCAAATATATGCAATATGTAGTATAATACCAAATATATAATAATTATACCAAAAAAGAATATATATACTATATATATTATATATATACAATATAATAATATTTATGTGTAGTATAAAAACAGGCAAAATAAAATGACATTCATAGAAATCAAGATAAAGATTATCATTGTGGAAGAAGGTTGGACTAGGGATTGGGAGGGGACCCAATTGCTATAATCATAATGTGTTGGTATTATTCTATTTTTTCCTGAGGTAGGGTTATAACTAGAATATGTTCATTGAGCATTTTCAGTATGGGGGTTTTATCTCATTTAAAGAAAAAAAAAGTCCTGACCTTTAACAACATTTCTTTTCTATACCAAAGTAATAATGTGAACCTGGTATCTGAGTAATATTATACTGTAGTTCTATAAAGAGTGGATCAGAACAGGCAGCTTAGACACAGGGAAGAAGTTAAGAGGCTATAACAAAAAATAATTCATTTATCAGAGATTAAGTACTGGGAGGCAACTATGGAAATGAAATTGCTATAACATCATTACTTGAAAGGTTAAGACATATTTTTATACGGGAGATTTGTAATTTCTAGCCTACTCTTTTTTAAATGGTAAGACTAGAAGTTTTAAACTCTGAGTTTTATAATTAATGAAAGGAAATAGCATTACATGATAATGAGAAATACTAGCCAAACATAATCATTTACTAATTTAGTGACCTTGACCAGGTTACTCAACTTCTCTGGGCCTCAGTTTTCTTATCTTAATATAACACCAGGGAGGACTAAATGAGATAATCTATGTAACTAATATGTTTAGCAGCACGCCTGACACATAAAAAGCAACCCTTACATTATCATCATCATAGAAAAGACTAAAGTCCTATTAGTTTAAACATAGTTTTAGCATAATATTTTAAATCAAATAATTGAATTCATTTAAAATTTATAATGTTGTTGGTTTCTTTTCTGCTTATAAAAACAAAAAAAAAATCACATGCATCCAGACCACAGTTATATAAACCCTTCACCTAGCCCTCATCTGTACTTTATAAGCAATAAATGGGTGAGGGGAGCCAATTTTTCCCTCCATGATTGCTCTTGCTAAAATTGCTTGAATTCCACTTAACTTCCATGGTTAGATGATGCTGATAAGATCCTAAAATAAAATGAAACAAATTACACAGGATTTGGTTTTGGTAGATTGTGGAAATAAAATCAAACAGGAAAAAATATTTATTTTAAGTTTATGAAAAAAATCTTCTAACAGTAATGCAGTAAAACTGATTTAAAAATAATTGGTGGAGATGTCTGTTCAGATGCTGCCCTGGAGGTACAAGTAGGCAACTTAACACCTAACAAAATGAGATGATTTAAGTCCAAATTTGCCAGTAAAAAACAGGATTTTTAAAAGTAGTTTTGCCTAGTACCAATTTAAGTGTTATTTTTATATAATAAAAAATAAGGAATCCCATTATCAGATAGCAGATAGCATGATACTGCCACTAACAAAATGAGGTGTATATGTTGTACGACTAGGTTACAATATTATAAACATTTTAGGAAATACTAGATTTAACTAAAACCATTTAAGCATTTTTTGCCTTTTTAAAAATTGTAAACAAAATATTTAAAAATTTTACAAGAAACCCTTTCATTAAAATTCACTCTTCTTATCACTTTAACTTAAACTTAGTCTAAAATTACCAATATCTACTTTGGCACTGCATAACAAATTTTTATTTTTGAATTTTATGAATTTTATACTTTTATAATAGAATCAATTTATGACAGAGTAAGCTTTGCATTCTAAAAACAAATTTAGTACCAGTTTATAGTATTTAACCAAATACCACTCCAAATTTTTTCTAACTACAAAGTGATATGTGTGTACACGTATGTATGCGGGCAAGCATGCATATGTAAGACTTTGTCTGACTTTGTTATTCTTTTCCACAGTTAATAGGCTTCCCCACAAAAAGAGTGCCACTAATTTAATTTTCCGTTTCTGGCTTTTTCACTCTTCTCTAGGAATCATTGTTTATTTTCCAGAGTATATTAAACAGGTTGAATTGCAAATGTTAGTCACAGTAGAACATTAGATTATTTTTATAATATTCCTGCTCAATCTACCTAACAGGAAATACAGTAGTCTTTCCCTCCAAATATTTTCTATTTAGGTACACGAAAATTCATTTTTGATACCATAAAATGAATCTGAAATTTGTAAAATATAGAAACCTGTAAATTTTGCCCCCCCAAATGCAGCAGTTATTATTTACCGCATAATTCCACAAATTTTATGTAACTGTTTATTCCACTCTGAAACCAACCTGAGCCACTGTCAAAAGATTTGTTTCCTTCCTATAATTCCATAAAGGTTAAACTACAAGCACAAGTACAAGTAATGCTATAAAGTATCATCAGTATGATGATAGGCTAAAATTAAATATTGTGCTCACAGCTATGATTAGAAGCAAACATATAGTTAACTCTTCCAATTACAGTTAACTCATCCATAAGCAGTGCACAAACTGAAGATCTGAAATATTTTGATATAAGAAAATCTATGAGGTTTGAAGATGTTATAGGATAGGTGAATGCCTTTCTTAAATATAAGGACTAGAAGATAGGCTGTAAGAAAACCAAAGGGAATTTCTTTTCACTTTAATACGGAAGTTATACAATATAGCCCAAGGGGGCACACCATCCTCAGAAAACTCTTTCTAGGCTTTAGCACAATCCCCCAAATCTACACTTGCAAATGTTAATTTGTAATTTGAATACCATGAAAATTAAATCAGCACCCTAGGCAGGCTGATTCACTGCAAGAGAGCAAAACTTGGAGGCTAAGGGCTATTTTCTCTGGTTGCTGTTAGTCAATTACAGTCAGTAAAATGAAGCTTATATTACCTGTTACAAACTGCATCCCCAGAAGACAGATCCCTTAAAAAAACGGAAAAATAAAATATTTGAGCATGTATACTATTAAAATGCTGCTTTATTTACTCATCAGTTCCGCAGAAAATTTCTTTCACTCTTACTATTTTTATATCATTTTACACTTTCCTATCCAATTCCAACCCCACTACAGTACCATTTTATCAAACTTTTCTGGGAAGAGGAGAAGCATTTTAGGATTTTAATCTTGGTCTGATTTATCTGTTGAAACTTAGTAGGAAGTAACAGATGGCAGACACTTGGGGCTAACAAGAAGAAGGAATTTAGGGCCTAGGATAAGAGGTTAAAAAAAGAGAGCGAGAGAGAGAGAAGGGAGAAGTGAAAAGGCCCAAAGATACACCTGGCCAACCTGAAAGTTTTGCCCAGCTGGTAACCCTAATTCACTGATGAATGCCAGCTCCCAATAGCAACCTCTTGGTCAGATGCCCATGGCAAAACTGGGTCAAGTATGTCTTGGCCAAGCTGGTGCTGACCACAGCTTTGACCAATAGCCTAGAAAAGGAAATCACCCACTCGTACTTAGCTCAACTCTCAAGAAACCAAAGTAACAGGGTGAGGGCAGGTTCTACCTGGGAAGAACCTAGAGCAGCCACAGAACAACATTTGTAGTACAAGTGCCCTTGTGAGGTCTGTTATGGTAGGAAAAAGTCAGGTTTAGGAAGGAAGGTCCCTCAGTGGGAATTGAAGTTACACAAGCAAGAGACACCACCTCTAGCTTTCTCTTTGTTACTGCTCTGAGTAGAGGTCTAGAGCTTAACATTTTTGTTAATTTAAGGTCTTAGCCAGCTAAACAACAAAAAATGTTTCTAGATCAATATATTCTTTTGCCACCTTTAGCCATGCTGTAGAAGACAGAAATAAGAAACCAAGATTCAACAGTTAAAAAACACAGTAGCATTGATGATGAACTTTTAAGTAAATTCAGTCTTTGTGAATTGGTGTCCCATCCTTGAAAGGGCAGTAAATCTTTCTTTCAAAACAAACAACAAACATATTAAGCATATTAGTGAATTAGTTAGCATTGTTTCTAGCACAAAGTGATTTGAATTCTATATTTATTGGTATAGTCTGGAGGTCACATAATTAGGGGGCTTTTTGTGGTTTCCTAGTAACCACTTTCTTTCAGAAGCATTAGCCATATCTCACATATGCTCATCTAAGTTAAGAGGCCTAAAAGAGCTCTCTTGCTCATTAGAGATGACTCTGCCTAGTTAAAGTTTTCAGTTCAATACATTCTTTTGATCATTTTCACCTGCAAATTGTGGTTAAATGTCCACATTTTAATTACCAGCACACTGGCACTGACGAGGTGACTGTCTCTCCTGATAACACAATGCTTCCTTGGGGCAAAATGCCAAGGGGCTGTCAGTACAACAGCACCTACTCTTTGATGGTGAGGCAGCAAATGTCACAACAAAACAAATGTATTTCAGCCTTAACATTTTTATAAAAGCAACTCCATTTGAGGCATGCATGCCCATATACCACCTCAACCTGAAAGAGAGAAACAACACAAGGAACTTGCATACCTTACTCCTCAGTATCAGTGTGTGCATATGCATACACAGTGTCCTGTCAGGCTACAAGAACAGGGTCTCTTTCAATGCCAGAGATCTAGCTCTTACCTGGCAGAATAAAACCTTTCCAGGGGCAAAGAAAAATCGATATAAAAATTCTAATCTCCTAAAAAATCTGTGATTTCAAACACTGTGAAATCCGTTTAACAGTACTTTTGACGAATCAACAAAATGAAGCTTTATGTAAACTTATAATTTTTTAAAAAAAACTCTTACACTGCTAGTGAGACTGCAAATTAGTGCAACCTTTGTGGAAAAGAATTTGGAGATATCTTGAAGAGCTAAAACTAGAAATACCATTCGACCCAGCAATAGCATTATTAGGCATCCACCCAAAAAAGCATAAGACATTCTATTATAAAGACATCTGCACTCAAATGTTTATGGCAGCACAATTCACTATTGCAAGGACATGGAAACAACCCAAGTGCCCATCAATTCATGAGTGGATTATTAAAATTTGGAATATACTTACAATGGAATATTACTCAATTCTAAGAAACAACAGTGAGCTAGTACCACTTTTATTACCCTGGATTGAGCTTAAGCCCATTATCCAAAGTGAGGTGGCACAAGATCAGAATAATGGGCTCCACATGTACTCACCATCAAATTGGTACTGACTGATTAACACTATGGTGCTCAAAGGGTGGTGGTGTTCACCAGGGATATGGGGGTTGGGGGTGTAGACCCACATCTGAGGGATGTGGTGAGCATTGTGGAGGGGAAGGGCATACCTCTAACCCTTGCTAGGGAGAGGCAAAGATATAAAATGTAAGCAAAATGTTAAAAAAACAAAAACAAAAAACATTTATCAGTGGGGGGGAGGAGGGGATGGGTATTTACATACATAGTGAGAGTGATGTGATGTGCTTGAAGCTCTGACTCAAGGAGGGAGGGGAGGCAAGGGCAATGTGTATAACCTTAACGTTTGTACCCCCATAATATGCTGAAATAAAAAATAAATAAATAAAAATAAAATAAAAAATAAATTTGAGCTGAAAAAATAAACTCACTAATGCCTCAACAAGAAAGTCAAATTCAGTTGATAAGAAAGAAAATTAATTAGAGCAGATTTTTATAACATATAGTTGTAAGACTATTTAGGCCCATATGCAGAAATCAACCAAATTGCAAATATGATAGGTCATCTGTTCAGAGGCAGACAGTAACTAATCAGGAAGAAACACTTAATTAAAAGTCTGAGAATGGTGTGATTATTCTTTTTAAATTATATTTTATAGTTATTTTAAAACTTAGATTAAAATTTCAGAAGCAAATAGCTTTATAATGTTTCATAAATTTTATTTCTTAACTAATATATTCATTGAAAAGCACTTTTCCTTTCAGTTAATGACAACTCTGTCTATTATACATTAAATTAAAAGAGTAAGACAGTACAAAATGATGGGATGAACACTCAAAATACTGAAGGAAAAATGGGAGCAAAACTGCATCCACATCTTCTGGGATCTGAAAAAACTGTATTCTCTTCTTGCTCATTAGAAAAGAGTTAAGGACTGGACATGTGAACTACTCAGAGTCTCTGAGACTCAATGATTGCAAGGAATCCTGAGAAAGGGAATCTTTTATTTCTATTTTATTTTATTTTATTTATTTATTTTTGAGACAGAGTCTCGCTCTGTTGCCTGGGCTAGAGTGCAATGTTGTCAGCCTAGTTCACAGCAATGGGTTCAAAAAATCCTCTTGCCTCAGCCTCCTGAATAGCTGGGACTATAGGTATGCACCACCACGCCCAGCTAATTTTTTCTATTTTCAGTAGAGACAGGGGTCTCACTCTTGCTCAGGCTGGTCTTGAACTCCTCACTTTAAGTGTCCTCCCACCTCAGCCTCCCAGAGTGCTAGGATTACAGGCATGTGCCACTGCACCAGACTAGGAATTTTATATTCTTTACTAGATTAAGATCTCAGAACATGTAGGCCCTTGAGCTGTACTGCTGCTGTGCTATAACACAAAACTTTGAATATGAAGCCAACATAGTAGGGAGCAAAACTGAGGATGGGCAAAACTATTTTCTGACTCCTCAGTATAGCTCTCTCTGAAGTTGATTCTGTCTTCAGGGCCATCATTTATGTGAGCCAATAAATATTCTTTTACCTTCAGCCAATTTGAGTTGGACATATTTTAACTTGGAACCAAAGAGTCTTAAATGGCACACTGCTGCATATTCAATTTAGAATCTGAAAAACAATTTTGAAAAATCTCCCATCAACAAAAAGCTTGTTGATCATCCCATTTAAGTAAGTAGACATGAGGGATTGTTTGTTACTCCTCTTTTATAGACACAGAAAGAGAAAGTGTAGAGAAAAATCATAAGCTATATAGAAAGGCCAAACTTTCTTAAATTTAACATAGTGTTATTCATAATCTTATTTTCTAATATCTTCCATCAAACTGTTTATCAGTTTCATGAATCTTATATATCAAAGTGGTAAATATATGTAAACTCAAAAATTAAACATGGACTAATAATGCAAATATTTAATTTATGGCACAATGAAATTATCTTAACAAAACTTGTTCTAGTTCAACTATAATTATTTTACCAACAACAGATAACAAAATGAAAATAAAGCGTGGGAGCTGTATTTAGTGATATGTTATTATATTTGTATCCCAAGGATATCTGGAAGATCAAATCTCACAGATATTTTATTAATACATTAAACTCAAACTCCTTAGCAGGTAAAAAAAAAATGGCTTCTGTTTCTTTTAGAAATAATTTCCTTGCTTCTTTATTTTATCCTTTGGGGTCAATGTTTCTGGTTATAGCTGATGTTTTCAAAGTGGGCACTAATTGATGATAAAGAAAAATTTTAAAACAGCAAGGAAAACACTTTCTAAAGATGCTTTATAGTTCTCAGTAATCTAATTTGTGGGAAATGGAGAGAAGAGTACCACAGAGTGCTTTTCAATAATTTATGGTGGAGATTCATCTTCTAAATTTAGAAACATAATTTGTGACCCAACTGTGCTGTGAATCTATTTGTGTAATTAGAAGGTTGGCTACATCCCCAACCCAGCCTATTCTTCTTGCACTCTATTCTGGGTGGGCAACAGATTTTGTGCTTGGATCCATCCTTTGGGAAGTGATTAAATAAAAATCATTTATTTATATTTTTAAAAATTCTGATCATTACCAAAACTCAGACCTAGCTGGCAGATTCTGACTGTAAGAATTGTGCCTTTTAAATTTGGAGAAGAGATAAACACCAATAATACAATTCTTCTTTTTTTTTCTCTCATTACATTTAAATGCTTAATTTTTATTGGATTTTTTTTTTTTTTTTTGCTGGATTTTATTTAAACACCGGATTTTTTGATTGTGTAAGGAAATCAATGTCCTGGCTAAAATTTCACATAAAATGGAAAAAGGGGCCAAGGAT